AAATTACAAGCAAAAATTTATTTGAAGTACCAGATAATTTCAAAAAGTTTTTGAGAGATCACAAGAAGCCACATGAAGCTTGATTTGTTCAAAACTCTCTTCCCAAGGAGCACTTTTGTTTCAAGATTCTCTTGTTTCTTCGAACCGAATTCCCCAAATTGCATATTTAACAATGTTGACCCGGAAGATTCTTGCTTTTCCTCTAAAACCATGGCCACGAAGAAGAATGAAGATGTTTTTAGCCCTGTAATGATTAACCGAAGAACAATCAAATAACTGAAAATAGTGCTCCATAGTTGCTGAAAGAACAATGAAAAAACACATGATGTTGATTGTTGGGTAAGTAGTTTCAATGCTCTTGCCCAAACAAGAACAAAAAGTTTAATCAGGAGAGGGAGTCACATCAATTTCCATGCGAAACATTAATTATGGGTGGATAGGTGAATTCATTATTTTCATTTTCTATTTTGTTCCCATATCCTTAAAACTAACACTCCTTTACATGTACGCACAAGAAAGCTTCTTGAAATAGAAGATTGATTCAATTTTCATGGATAATGAAATGAACAAGATTAGTATTAGAGTATTTGCATGTTAGCTCGACGAGTAACTTGAATATAACTGAACTGTGTAAAGCATTATACCAATATCCTAGAGGTTAGAGTTTCAAATCTCCACTCCACATGGTTGAACTCATTTGCATGGCAGATGTGTTTGACCTTTTTAGTGGAGTAACTCTGATAAATTTTTTTTTTCTTTTTTGGATATCCTTGAGTGTTCGAACCAATTTTTGTGCACTTCGACTAATCTCACGTCCAATGAATATCTTTGTCCTGCATGCGAGTCAAAGAACATATTGGTTGCATTTGCATGTGTTTATTAGGTGTTCTTTTCTTTGTTTTTTCCTCAAACTATTCTATGTTTTCCCTCAAATTTCTCTTTCTTTTTATCCCTCGCTTTTCCTATTCTTTCTTTTTCCTGCCGAAACACTTGTTGGTTCCGTTTCATATATCAATGGAAAGCTTGTTTCTTGTTTAAGAAAGAAAAAAACACTCTTTAGTATCTATATAACAGAAAGGCTGAAGAAAGGTGTTCTTTTTTATTACTTAACCATCAGTATCTATATAATAGCTTTGTTAAATACTATTAACGTGATGAAGGTGAGTTATTTAAATAAATTCTTGTGGTGGGAAACTTTAGAAGTATATTGAACGATTTTATATCCATGTCTCATGACCGTATTGACTAGAGATTACCTTCTTAGGTTTCAATAACTGGGAGGGGAGTTGAGGAGAAGTTATCATCTAAGAGAGACAAAAGTCACATGTTATTCGGTGGGACCAAAATATTGCAGCATACTCCAGATAAGGTAGTTATGTTGAAAGAAGTCTAGTGGCTTTAGTTTTGATCTTGTGAATATTATAATTTTTATGATTTGTTTGTTGGTTGTTGACAGACCTTTCCCCTTAGAACCCCTGATGGAGGCTGCTTAGCAGTCGTTCTGAGAACTGGATTTGAAACAAGTCAAGGGAAACTAATGCGCACGATTTTGTTTTCTACAGAGAGGGTAACTAATTTGACATTTTTTTGGTTTGCAATTAAAATGAAATTATACTATGCTTCTTGTCCAAGATACAATAATATATATTTACACCTTTTGCACCAATTGCAGGTTACAGCTAACAGTTGGGAAAGTGGCCTATTTATTATGTTCTTGGTTGTATTTGCAGTTATAGCTGCGGGTTACGTACTTGTAAAGGTAAGGTGACATACTTCTGTGCTCAACTCTCAAGTTGTAGTTCTCAATGATATAGGTTGAAGAAAGTTTGTTTGATGCTGCAGGGGTTGGAAGATCCCACGAGAAGCAAGTACAAGCTCTTTCTCAGTTGCTCACTTATAATCACTTCTGTTATTCCTCCCGAACTACCAATGGAACTGTCAATAGCTGTTAATACATCATTAATTGCTCTAGCACGTCGTGGAATATTTTGTACAGAGCCTTTTCGAATACCATTTGCTGGAAAGGTAGTTTTCCTTCGAATGTCTGGTAAATTTTCACCTTGTTTTTGAAATTACATTCATTCTTTTCTTTATTATACAATGTGAGATGGAGAGTTT